GTTGTGGTCTTATATGAGGAAAACATATATACAACACATATTCGTATATACAACTAGACTTGTTTTACTTTCAATCCTCCGACTCTTACATATAGGGCTCCACCTTACCATATGGTTGGAAATCACAAATATACTTAACTTTATCAAATGGGGCTTTGCCTTACCATTTATATAGTTAACTCGTCTATATTTGTTATTATCAAAACTTAAGCTAAACATAATGTCATAAGCCATTATGTCCAACATTACTGTTTGCACTGTAGCACCTTGTGATTTGTAGATTTCCATGAGCAATTCCAAATTACTCAATCAATATGACAAGTGCCCTGGGTTAGCTCCCAAACTCAATCTAAAATACTAAATTTGGCTAAATCACATTACTTAACATTCACTCTCATACCACTTGCACTTTTTAGGGTTCACTTAACCTATTTACCACAATGATACATACTTGAGCCATTGGAATGACTAAAACACCCTTTTCACACAGTTAACAAGCATTTTTTTCCCTTTTAAAACCTTTTAGTTTAGGCCAATTTGAGCCTATATCTCTAAGGCTCAACCATTAAACCCTAAGCCAGTCATAAGACTTTAGTTTTACACCCAAGACTATTTTTAATACTAAGGGGTAAGAAAACAACCCTTTAAAATTTCCTTATTTAATTTCTCTATAACCCAAACTAAGAGAAATCAAAATAGAAATAAAATACAATAAGGTATAACATTTACTCAACAAGTCACTAATCAAAGCAAACTTCTAATCTTCATCAAACTCTTGTCCTAGCACAACGGGCCTTCCTTCTCTTCCCCTTTCATATTTCCCCCTCCTTTCCTTTTATTTTCACAAGCTGATCACGTTCTTAAAAGTCAAATTTTCGCCACATGCCATGGTGTGTGGCACAATAAGAAGTGATGCATATGCCGTGGTATAAAATTTTTCCCCCTCCTTTCCTTTTATACATAAGACACTTCCCACTTTAACTCGTGCCCTTCACTTTCTACGCCAATCCTTTCACCCAAGCCTAATCACATATCAGCCTAATAACACAAACATCAATTCACCATCGAAAACCACAATTAATCTAATAATTACTAAGCTATCCCTTATTAGCAATTAGTTTATCTAGATTAAAAGTTTAGGATGTTAAATTTGCCATGTGGAGGTGGGTCCACCCAATATATTATTCACTAGATGGTGGCATGTGTAAAACTTAAATTTGGTAAGTGTTGCAACTCCTTTTGCATACTGTTCATTATCTTCCTAGCTAGTTTCCTATTAGATTGACCTCTTTTCTCTTCTTTGGATAGGGTTTAAAGCCAATGATTGCTTTAGGAACTCTTTAAAGGTGCCATTCTACCTCCTACTACCTAGGTTCACTCCATTAGTAACCCAATCACTGAGAGGTTGGTCATCACTAGTCAATCACAGAGCTCAAGCAATTCAATGTGTTATTCACTGGTTTTTTGTGGAGCTGGGTTTGATGGGGTTGATCAAGGACTTCTTGAGCTTACCAAAGAACTAAAATTTGAACCCTCATACAGATTGATATAAGAAGAGATGGTTGAGAGGAACATGGAGAATCAAACATATCACCTGAATAAGAGAGATTTTTTTTATAAAAAAAAAAAGAATTAGTAGATTCCTCCTAAAAGTGGAACATACCAAATAATCAAATCCAATAATACAGTATATCAATTCATCCAAATAAAAATTTAGTTGCATAACGTAACTAAAATCTAGCTATCAAACAATTACTAAAATGTAGCTATCAGACAATTGTAATTTATCTTAGGTTTATCTGTTAGCTTGATACTATTATAGTCTTAAAAAAATTCCAATATAAACATGTTAAAACATTTTACAAATATACAACAACAAAAAATAATCAAGAATTTCCTCTTAAATTTCAACCTCCCATACTTCAATAATAACTACTTTCAACTTGAAGATCAACTAACATAGAGTAAATTCCAATATAAGCACACCAAAAATAAAGAGTATTCATCATTTATATAATAACTCAAACCATGCAACAATTACAATCAATTTCAAGTTCAACTAACATGAGAGTAATATAATGTCACAAAAAAATTAACCAAAATGACATATTATTATTGTCATACCTATATTATTAATGCATGCATGCATATCCATAATAAAATACTAAATTGTATATTTATTAAAAAATTTAAAAAAACCTAGCTATCTACAACGACAGCAAAAGTTGCTGGATGCACCAATGGTAAAGATAAAGATGGTGATGGCGAGACTCGGTCGAAGGTGAAATGTGATACACCGATACAATGGTGGCAAAGTTTGAAGAAGAAATATGATGCATAGGAAGCAAATCTGCAATTTTGAATAGCTGTTCTCCACAACAAGTATGGCAAGTTCCTGCGATAGGCAAGCGATAGTTGATGATAGCTATTGATTGGGATAAGAATGGTGACAAGGTAGAGAGAAAAAGTTGGAAGGGTCTTGAGAGAGAAGAATTGGATAGAATTTGTGGGTTTATACTTCAAAAATGCTTGGGGCTTGACTGATATTGAATTCTGATATTAAGAAAAAAGGCCTTTAGGAGTGCTTTTTAAGAAAGTGCTCCTATATATTAAGCCTTTCAAAGTGCTTATATAAAAAGCTCTCAGTAAAAATATCCAATGAGAGAGCGTTTTCAAGAAAGGGCTCCTATCTCCTTATCCCTTTAGGAGTGCTTAACCGTTAAGTGCTCCTAAAGGTTAAACCTTTAGGTAAAGCACTCCTAAAGGGAGTTTTTTTTTTAAAAAAAATTATACAACCCAAAGGAGTGCTTATTTGGTAAGCTCTCCTAAAGGCAAATATTTCTTCTTTTAATTTTTTTTCACATAATTATTTAGAGCGCTTTGCCTCTAAGAGCTCTAATAAATGAAAGTCTTTGGGAGCACTTTATTTTGAAGCGCTCTTAAGGCATCCATTCTTTGTTTTTGAATTTTTTTTATGATTTACTAGAGCTCTCTTATAAGCGCTTCAATAGAGTTAATATTCTGGAGTGCTATTTCATAAAAGTGCTCTGATAGGTTCCGCCTCAACATACCAAAATGCTTTTCTCCATAAGTTTTTAAAAAAGGCACACCTAAAAGCACATTTTGTGGTAGCGAGCTCACTATTTCATGGTCTCTAATGAGTTGACTTGTGGTGATGGTATCCATTGTAGAGCTCAAACCTAAAGGGAAACTAGATAGTACAAGCAAAAGATATTTACTTCTTTTTCTTGGGGCTAGGGCTATTAATTTTTTTTAATTTTAAAATATGAGTATTTTAGTCATTCCATCAAAAATATCAATATAAAAAAAGTTTCTAAAGACTTGAGAAAAATTGTGACATTTCAAAAACTTTATTATCATTTACATATTTTAGGGAGATTTTTATCTCATTTTCCTATCTATTCCCCTCGCCCCTCGAAAATTTTTGACTTGGCTCCATATGGATCCCATGTGTATGCCACATAGATAAAATGTGGCCCCACACTACCCAAACGATGGACGTTTGCTCCCTCTTAATGACAATGGTAATATTGTGCTGATTTTATAATTTTAAGGGTGACATTGTACTAATTTCAAGTCTGGGATACGAGAAACACCTCAACTAATAGTTAAAAGGCATAAGTTACATTTAATAACTAAAATAATAATTTTCTTGAAGCTGCTTCATATTTAATTAATTTCCAAGTAGGTGCTCATACTTAAGCCTTCTTTTTCAATTGGAATATATAACAGGCTACACCAACTTTTGAAACTTGTCCATTACGTTATTATTTTTGCTTCTAGGATTGACTTTGAATCTTCTAATGTATAGGTCAACTTATTGTGAACTGAAATCTATCTTCAATCATTTAAGCATTACGAGAAGGTCATTACTTGTAAGAAATCAAATTTTTTGCTTGGCACAAATATTCCTCTGCCAAGTCAACGATGACGATTCTGCAGAAAATTTCACTGCATCCTAAAAGGTAAATATGATCAAAGCAAAGTCGATTAATCTTCTATAAGTTTAAAAAATTCCTCGATGATCATTTCCTATGATAATTGTCTAAATGCCAGTAAATACAGATATATTAGAATTTAGATGCTTTAGAAACACCAGAAGCGGTCACTTGACTACAGATTAATGTAGAAATAGAATAGGTTACTAAAGCAAACAATTCATATGATAACAATATAATATTATATTTGCTTAAAATGCAACTCAAACAAACATCAATATATAGAGTAAGATGTGACCTACATACTAATCTAGACTTCCTTTGTACAATAGGAGTTTACTCTATATATATATATATATTTTTTTTTTTTCCTTAAAATCAGATTACTATGAAGGAAAGCGTTTTTGATATCATGCTAGTGGAAAGGCATAAACTACTTTTTCATCATTTCCTGTGTTAACAATATAATATTATCTTGTCTAGAATCTTTGATAACATATAGAATATCGGAGGAAAATCAATAGTGAAATATAAGGAGAGCAAGAGATAATGTGAGAAATGCAGTTTGCCTGGTCCCTATTATAGAGCGCTTTCCAGAAAAATCCTTTGATTCTTAATATAAGGCACTTGATGATGTGGCATTAGTTATATATATTTTAATATTACTCCTATTTAAACCCATTAATTATGAGAGATAATGTAATGCAAATTTAAAAAAAATCATTTAAATAAGGGTAAAATTGAAAATCTATTCTATTTTAAAAAAAGTTAATTACTTAACCTTCTTTCATTAGTTCTAGTGAAATAGTTAGAGATAATGGATAAGAGCGAGTACTAATTAATCCACATGAGCATCTTACTAGTGGCGAGAATATTACAAGAAAAATGTGATGATCGATGCGTACTTGAAATATATATAATTACAAATTAATCTCCCAATATCATAATTATTTACAATGAAATCACATCAATGTCAATACAATTATTATATCATATAATCAAATCATATATATCAACATATCAACATTGTTGGAAGAAATATTGGTTTCAAGAAACATTAGAATTAAGTAATGAAATATAATTATCCACATAGCTAGCTAAATCCTAGTAAAAGTATCACAATAATTTTCCATCAAATCTAATCCTTAGTATTATTATCTCCCAATTATGTCAGTGATGCTTACAAAGTTAGTAGAGTACAAGGTCTGTGTTTCTGAAGTGGACTTTGTGGCAAATCCTGTCTCATTTAGTACATATGAAGGTTGCCTGGGAGGAGGAAGATTGGCAATCTCACTGCTTAGCATTGACACTACATTATCTATAGTTGGTCGCTCTTTTGCTAGTTCCTGTACACACAGAAGTCCTATGTGTATACACCGTAAAATTTCATTACTAGAACCTTGATAGTGTATTTCAGAATCTATAAAGGACATAAGATTATCTTCATTCCATAGCTTCCATGCCTGAAAATATAAAAAATTTCAAGCATGAAACTACAAAGTTTATTTCAACAAAAAAGTATTAAGATACTTACATATCCTAAAAGCGTTTGAGATCCCTCCGTGTTATACAATCGAGAGTTGCTTCTCCCACTAACAATCTCTAGCAATAGAACTCCAAAACTAAAGACATCTGATTTTTCAGAAAATTGTCCTTGCATCGCGTATTCAGGAGATATATAACCACTACATTGAGAAGTTATTACCAAGTTAACATGCATTAATTGTCACTGGATAATGATTTGGATAATTAAGAAAAGAAGATGCTTACAATGTGCCAACCACCCTTCTAGTACTAGCTTGATCTTCATTGCTTCTAAATATTCTGGCCATTCCAAAATCTGATATTTTGGGATTTAGCTCTTCATCCAATAAGATGTTACTAACCTTTAAATCTCTGTGTATGATTTTTATTCTAGAATCTCTGTGTAAATAAAGTAAACCTCGAGAAATTCCTTCAATGATTTTAAAACGTTTTTGCCAATCTAAATTTTGGTTTTTGCTTGGATCTGCAACCAAAGGAAAGATTAAGTATTGTAGACTAAGCACAGTGTTGCCTCAATTAGCAACTCAATGAACATTGAGAAAAATTAAACGATTTTTTTTTAAATCATGGATGAACTAAAAAACAAGACGAACAATAAAAGATGGAGACTAACCAAATAAAATTGTATCCAAACTCTTGTTTTGCAGGTACTCATAAATTAATATTCTTTCATCTTGCCAAATGCAACAGCCTAAAAGTCTTACTAGATTGCGATGCTGGAGCTTTGAAATCACCACAACCTCATTCATGAACTCTTCTTGCCCTTGTCTTGATGCTTTTGAAAGCCTTTTGATTGCGATTAGTTGTCCATCTTTTAGTTGGCCCTATAAAAGATTATGTAAAAAAGAAATTATTAGCAATTATAATAACTGATCATTCCTACATGAAAAATGATCCACTGCACGAGAAAAAACAAATTACCTTGTAAACTGATCCAAAACCACCTCGTCCAAGCAGGTTTGTGGTGTGAAAATTGTTTGTAGCAGTTGCAAGCTCTTCAAAATCATAAAGTGGAAGCTCGTCCATTTTGATTTCTTCTTGTTGACTTATCACTCTTTGAGCCTGGCTATGTGAATCTGCCCCACCTATGTAGAACAATACAATGACACTTTCTTCGGTTAAAAAACGTCATATTTTCAAACAGATATAGTATTAATCGCAACCATAGTGATTAGGGAAAATGAATCCCATCTTTACATCAAGAATTTTGGTTTGGTAATCGGTGAAATTACGGAATAATGCACACATTCTATTAGCAAGTATAAATAATCTTGGATGAAAACTATAATTTGTTGCAATACCTGCGCATTTAACTGTCAATTTCCTTACGAGATATGCACAGGCAATTAAAGTAATAATTCCTATTGTCGCCATAATTGCAGTCAAGATTTTTCTTTTGTGTGAATGATTCTCTGCATTTCATAACAAAAAGTCAAGTAGCTGAGGTGAAAACTTTCTAATATGAGGAAACATATATTAGATTTCAAATTTAAGTTACCAAGTTCTGACAAAGGCAAACGAATGTAAAGATCAACCCCTCCACTGGAGAATCTTTGTTGGTCAATCAAATCTCCACTCCAATGCATACATCCAATACCATGCAAATCAAACGCATATGCCACACAAGAACAATTATCCAAGCATTGTGTTCTGCAATTATCTTGATCTGGGGCAGTTGACCTAATCAAAAAGTCTGGAACTTTCATGTTCTCAAGTTTTGAAAAACCGTCCTTTTCATGTACTTCGCTGCTATTTCCCATCGTATCACATTGCAATGGCTTCTTCCTCACACACCCACTAGCCCAATTTTGCTTATTCCATTCATCTAGTTTCTTAGGTTCATACCCATTCAAACAGCTACAAGCTGGTGATCTTCGTGAGTTACAGCTTCCAAATGCCCCACAAATGCCATAGTGATCACAATAAGTGATATTCAACATGTTCCTCATGATTTCTCTTTTCTCATTCCACAGTGCAATCCAAAGTTGGCCTTGTGGGCTCAAGCTAAGAATTGGAAAACTGGTATCATTTGCAAGATCACAAGTTATATAAACTGTTCCATCATCTTCATTTTTAACATAGCATCCATAAAGATACCTTGTTGGCATCATAGGTCTTCCTGTAAAAATCCTGCCGTTCCATGGACCTGTTCGAGAATATGGATGAGTTCCATTGAACCAAGCAAAAATATCAGGAGCATCAGGGCGTTCAAGAGAAACCGAGTAGTATCCAGTAGATGGATCAGAATGACTTTTCCATGATGTAAGTTTCATTTTCGCTCCAGTTATTTTGTTCAAACTGATATTCATCTTTGGTACAAATACATTAGAAGGATGTTGGAAGCTCTCCCATATAGTTTCTCCTGTGTTGTCATCAGAGAGGACTAGATTCCCAATATCTAAAAGTTTTGCAGTAGAATTGTATGCAATATTTGAGATATTAGTGGACCAAATAATCATATTTTGTTTGTCCAAAACCACAAGATTCCCATCCTTGGAGATTGTGACAATCCCAAAAGAATCAACCAGTGGCTGGTTTCTGTTAGCCACCCAGATGATGTTAGATTCAGAAAGATACCAGATTCCGACATACCGATTTGTGGAATTTTGAGGGCTGAAAAATCCAAGCTTGAAGTCACTGCTATGGGAGCTCACTACTTCATGATCTCTGATGAATTGACCTGTGGTGATGGTGTCCACTGCAGAGCTCAAACCCAGATTTAAATTGAAAAGTAAAAGCAAAAGCTTTATCAAAATGTGAATTTTAGTTCTGAATCCCATGGCTGTAGGGAAAAAGATGACAAGATATTACCCCCTTTAGCTTGCCACAAAGTTGAATTTCTGATCTGAGCCTGAGTTTTGTGTGAGTGTGTGTGTGTGTGTGGACGCACATTGCTCTCAGCGCGATACGCCTTTGACTATGTATTTGGAAGTACACGTTCCAAAGTCAGTGAATTGTCAGATTAGCAAACCATCTACTAAAGCTTTCCTCATCTATAGGTTAACTGTTTAATTGTAAGGTGAGATTAATCAATGACACAATTTAATACTATTTTCTTGAATATATTTGATAGATAAACATATATTTGGCTTCTTGTAGCATTGACCCTGATCAAATTTGGCTGCTATACTAAAACAATATAATTACTTTGGAATAGAATATCATATTATCTCGGATAATAAACATATATTATGGTTTTATGTGTGCGCGTCTCAAATTATTATTCTAATATCCTGGATCCAAATATATTTCATAGAAAATATAAGGTTACCTTCGTTTCAGAGTTTTGTGCCAAAAAAAAAAGGGAAAAAAAATGAAAAGTAATGCAGGAGAGGAGTACTCTGGTCTTTCAAAGTCATTTGATAAATATTTTAAAACTCTTTATTCTGAAAAATAATAAAAATAATAATTCCTCCAAGAGACTCTACTAAACAAGTCATAGGACGCTATTGCCTCTTAAAAAAAAAATTAATTCCTTATATTTGTTGGGAATCACCAATATATAAAGTGCCCCTAGATGTCATTTTGTAATTCTGAATGTGTGTGTGTGTCTACGTAGAAAATCTATGCATACACGTGTATATATATATATATATATATGTTTGTGTGTGTGTGTGTGTGTGTGTGTGTGTGTGTGTTTTTGGAATAAGGGAAAGATTTCGTAGTTGAATTTGTGAATTTATGAAATTTAATAGTTTCCTTCAGAAGGTTGTAGTGAATTTGCTGTAATTAAGTTCCAAATTTATTTGGGTATTTGAAAATGAAGTTATGAATTAAAGAAAAAGCTTCTTTCTTTTGATGAAAATGACCAGATTTTCAGAAGGCTAATCGGGAAATTGCTTTAAGAAGGTTATAAATCGTAATGCAAAGCTGACAAAATTAAAAGCTTCTTAGTCTTTCTCGAATGCAGAAGGCAAGTAAATTTCATAAGGGTAATCATGAAATTTAAAAACAACTCCGCTGATAAGTATCATATTAGAATTCAGAACTGTATTACAACAAATTGACATTAACACAACATAAAATTTATTGGTTTACAAGCTAAGCAATGATCTTCTCAAAAAACTTAAATTATTAAAGATAGATTTCACTACACTCACCACAAAAAAAAAAAATGACTTTCAGCTTTTAGCGGTGACTTTTACTATCACTATAAATTGTTCATTTTTAGCAGCAATTTTTTAACTTTCTGCAACAATATTTAAAGTCACTGCTAAAAGGGTAACTTTCTATAGCAATAATATATAATTTTCATTGATTGTTAGACTTTCAATGGTGACAAGTGCATGTTGCTATTGAATGTCTAAGTTTTAGCAGCAACACATAAGTCATTGTTAAAAATTGACAATCAGTGACAACTTTTTAAGGTCACAGTAGAAAGTAAGACTTTTAGAAGTAACTTTTTAGAGCTACCGTTGAAAGTGAATGTTGCCGATGAAAGTTTGATTTTGTATTATCATCATAATTTTTTATTTTTTGTGTAATCTAATATTTAACATTTTAAGACATTAATTTTATTGTATTATTGTAATTTTATAATTAATATATAAAATAACATAATAAGTTTTTCTTTAATATATTTTATGATTAAATTGTAACTTTAAAATAATAAAATTATTTTAAGATAAGATTAATATATTATTTAATGCTAACAAGCTAGAGTAAAGAATTATGCCAAACCATATTATTTTACATCAATTTTTGTTATTAAGTAATGTTTAGTTTGATTTAGTCCAATTATTTAAGGCAGTTTGGTTACTTAGTTTTGGTCAACTATTTTCAAATGTTTTATAATTAAATTGATATTTTAAACAATAATATTACTTGTTTATAATAATTAAACACGTGATAGTTAAATTTTATTCATTTATAAAATAATATTTCATCTAATCAAATTTTTCAATTCAAACTCTACATTTGATACCAGTAACTTTAAAAACCTAATGCCGGTTTAGATGTTTGCAATTTGATGACTAATGATAAAAAAGAGAAAAATGAAAAGAAGAAAAATAATATATTCTAAAATTATACTTTTAACTTTTACAATATACGAAATATATCTATATATGTGATGCTACATGATTTTTTTTTTGTTGCTATCTTGCAACATAAATATATAAAAAAAATTTGATAATATGGTGTATAATTTTCTTATAAAATTATAATTAAAAAATTAAAATATAATGTAAAAACAAAGCAATTAAATTCTTAAGAGTTATTGTTAATTAAAAGTAAAAATAAAATTTTAAATAAAAATAGCTAGAAAAATAAATAATTATGAACTAATGTATAATCATCTATATTTTTACTATTTATTCTTAGATATTTTTACATTATAATTATAAATATGAATATTAAAATAAATAATATAATAACCTCAAGAAGTAAAAAAATTAAAATAAATAATACAAATGATATTGTATCAATTATATTTATAGTTTACTTTAGACAAAATAAATAATGTAATTTATAATTTTAATAAATTAAAAGAATTAAATTGAAGTATATAATGATAGTAATGATATTTTATAATATTTAATATTTAAGATATATGTGCGGTTGTATAGTTTAATAATGTGTGTTTGTTTATTTATATTCAATTATATAATAATAGACTGTAAGGTCATTCTAGCTTAACAGCACAATGGTGGAATATAAAAGAAGGAGGTCATGGGTTCAAACATTGAAGGAGATGGCTTGTGAAATACAAATATAAATTGATAAAATAATGACACGCGGCATGAGGTGAGCGTAACATGGTGCCACGTGGCGTAAGGTAGGGGCAGGTGATATGGTGCCATATGGGTTGGTGAACCAGTGTTATTTTTTAGCATTTGTATGGCGACAAATGTCACCACTGATACTTAACATTCAACGACGACCAAATAGTTGCTGTTGATATGTGGTTATTGCGGCAACAAGATTCTCAACTTTTAACAATGACTATCTTTCTGCAACAACAAATTTTCTTTTCTATTCTTAACTTTCAACAATAACTTTTATTGTCACCACAGATAAAATCAATGATAAGAGCTCTCGCGGAAACATCGTGGCGACCTTTTGTTGTTGCTGAAAACTTTCAACTGCAACTTTTTAGTTTTGTCACCGCTAAAAGTCAATTTTTTTTGTAGTGATTATTAGTTGACCTATACATAAGAAGATTCAAAGTCAATCATAGAAATTAAAAAAATTATAATAAAAAGGACAAGTTTCAAAAGTAGTTTTAGCTTATTCCAATTAACAAGGGTCCAGCATACAGCATCACCTACTTGGAAATTAATTAATGAATAATAGCAGCCTCAAGAAAGTAATTATTTTAATTAAACAACGTTCTATACCTTTCTTCGATTCATTGGAGGAAAAATATAAAAGAGAATATACCATCAAGTTCCCAAACACACACTTAGTGAGAGATGCAAAAGTATAAGAGAAATTGCTTAGATAGTCTTAGGTTCCACTTGGTTGTTAGCAAAGAATGAAATGTAATGGATTGAAAAAATAAAGATAAAAATGAGACTATCAAAAGAAACAGTTAATGACATTGATAAAAGAGAGGGGTAATTTAGTTTATAGGATTAAAAATTATGATACATAAAATTTTTGAAAGGTATAATGATTCTTACATTTAAAGTATATATTAATAAGGCTTATCATGCTCACCACAAAGAGAAAAGATAATTTAGTTTATTTTTGCATTAATTTTTTTCAATCCATTTCATTCAATTCCTTTTTAATAACCAAATGGGATCTTAGAGTAACATATTATATAATCAAAAGACTTTTTTTTTCCTAAACTATTTCTCAAGGAGTACTTGTTATCCTAAATTATTTATTGGAATAATATATAGTAATACCCATTAATTCTTAAAATCATTGCAATGTCACCTTTGACTAATGGATGGTATGTTCACCATTAACATTGACTGATACTTAGCATGCTTGGTGGGAAAATCTTTGGGTTAAAGGGTATTTTATTTTTTTGAAGAATTTGTGGAGGAGCAATTGACATCCCTTCTTTTCTTAGTCGACAAATGTGAAATCATGTTTAAGTTATCTCATGGCTTTTCCTGCTAGATGTTCATCAGCATAAAAATGTCTACCAACCTGTACGTAGGATCAATATAATTAACAGTATTGTCTCATGTTATATATGTATATAATGTCACATTCCATATGAGTATTTATCATTAAGAAAGTATGCCAGTCCTATAACTTGTTAAGATAGACACCGAAAAACACCGAAAAACACCGAACATGGCTGTCACAAAATACAAAATTAATCTTGCTTTGTAAGCCTAATCAACACACACACACACACACACACACACACACACACATATTCCAAAGTACAATTGGTAAAAAAATAATTTAAAGTAATTAATCAACAATTGAATATAAGTGTTACCTCTTCAATCTATAAATGATAGATATCCGATCGCATAGATTGCATGACTGAAGTTGTTGTTATTAGCTGTTTAATATTAGGATAACCCAAAATAAATGTTTGGAACAATGACAGATATACAGATGAAACCAAACGAAAAAAAAAAAGATATATTTAGAAGTAAATTAAACTATATATAAAATAATAGTATAAGTTACAAGACTTTTTTTTTTTTTTAAGATACATTCAGTATTCCCTGTCTTTGCGGAAACCACATGTATAATCCTTCTTTACAGAAATATAAACTACAAATATTTTTACAAGTACTCTTTGAATTCAAAAGCATACTAAGGCCATAATGAATTTTCAAAACTCAACTTATATAAATTTTTAGCATTAAAAAAA